AGGTATTTCAGTGTAGTGTTGATTTTATCGAACAGCTCTATAAACGTCATCATATATCTGGTTCAGATGAAGGATTTCCGTGTATTTGTAATGAAACGTTTATGTCTCCGGGGAAATGCTCAGGTTAACCCTATATAGAAGAATGGCTTGGGAGTAAAAAGTTCCCGCGCTGATCTTGACTTTTTTATGGGGGGTCTTTTATGAACTTGAACTTTAGGGCTCAATGAAACATTAAAGCAACCTCGTTCCCATGGTTCTCTCCTACTTGGCCCCCGTCGCCACGGGGGCCGAGTACGAGAGGGGCCTAGTAGCGAGGTTGAAATCGCGGTTTGGCCATCTTACCGCAAACGGCAAACGACGGTTTGCAGTTAGCAGTTTCACGCTGGCCGTACGTCTGCCCATAATTGGGACTAAAGATTCGTGGGTGGTAGCTCGCGGCCTACATCTTTGTTTTTATTCATTTCCTGAATACTAGTTTATATGAGAAAACCTCGATCTTAAGGTCTCTATTACATTCCAAAAACCGTATACTTGGCCCATGTAAGATAATCGAGATTCCGAAATCGGGTGAGGTGCAGGGCACAATGGTACAGTTAATCAGGGATACCCAGTGAAAACTTGAAGACGGAGGTTTTATTTTGTTTTGCCATATCTTTTATCGTCAGTCGTACAGGTTTGATATGTGGTAACTTCACCGGGATGAAAAGTACAAGTATATCTTTCCTTGAAAATTTCAATTATAAGTAAAATCCACAAGCCTTTCAAAAAACGCAGGAACTATGGATGAATTTTTCAAGGTATGAGGAGAATTAGACATTGCAATTCACTCAGTAGAGAATTAAATTAAGTCGTCGGTTTTCATGGCAATCATAATGCAGATTATTCACCGCGAAAAGATTCTTTGAGTGTCCAGCAAGCATTTGTAGCAAATATAAGTTATTATATGTAACTTCTATGTAACAAGACTCTTAATGATTAAGCTAAAGTAGGATTTACATGGTACAACTTTCCCTATTTAGGTTTTCTTGCTGCAGGGCTCAGAACTTGTCATTTACTTTATTTGATCGCACAAAAAGACTTCAGTGATACGTATGTTTTTTCTTGCTTTCTACAGTTCATCGGTAATACTGCGATTTTCACGATGGATCTCATAAATCGTGTCGCATTTTCTTAATTGTAATTTCTTGATTTATGGCAATCAATGTTTTTTGTTTCCAATCGAGTCCTGTCGACGCGACAAAGTTGTACCGTTTAAATCGTCTGTTATGGACAAGAGGTCACATTTATGTAAATAATTGTAGAGTAGAAAGAACAAATCAATAAATCAGTCTTTTTGTTTAACTGACTCAGATCACATTAATTTGTTTCAGCTCAGGGGCGTTTTATAAAGAGGGATCCTCTAATCAGGGAACACCTTCGGAACCTAGTCAAGTGTCCCTTAAATATAGGTGTCGCCTGAATAGAGGTTGAGCTGGGGTTTGTTAATAATTAACCAACAAAGACAATATAAATAAATCATCATTAAAAATTAACTTATCTCTGCGACATCATATGTTGAATACAAACAAGTGCAGTATACATTCGAATGAAGTTCAGTTTGTGAAAGCTGCCATCATTGTGATTAGTGTACACTTAAAGATATTAGCCCTCCTTGTGGTCAGTCACGCCTTTTGAGTGCTAGTAAGTCCTCTGCATAGAGGTCGAACCCAGATTTCCGGACCCAGAAAACGTGTTCCTTTCCCCTGTGTAGAGGTGACAGATACAAAGATTATGTGGCCGTTTTTCCGCGACCAAATTTTGTGTCCTTTAATAGAGGTCAGGGGCACCCATCGACGGTTTCCTCTTACATACATTGAAACCACTTTTTAGGCTACCCAGAGTACACTAGATCTCTAGAAATGATCTGTTCTGTCATCCTAGGGGAACTTGAGTCTTTCCGAAATTATGCAAGGGCTTTCATTATTTTCCCGAAAATTTAAGATGCAACTTAAAGTATTACGAAAGTGAGAATGTTCCTGATTCCTCTCTCCATCTCATTTTTGAATCCGAAAATTTTAGGTTTCCTTTTTTCTACGAAAAATAGCCTTCCTGGGGATATCAGAAAAATTAAACTTCAGAAAACCTAGGGAATTTAATAGATGAGCTTCGAAACTCAAGGGGTTTAAGGCTTGGGTCCACGGTGTGTTAGGAGCATATGGATGTTTGGCAGGGTCCCTTGAATAGAGGTCTCCCAAAGGAGAGGTTCCACTGTAGCTAGAATTTTTCAACGGAGGTATCAGTCTCAACATCGTCCCCAGGGCGCTTTTCCCTGGCTTTGAAGGTGGGGCGGGAGAAGGACCTGGCATCGGTCGGTCACATGACCACCAAACACCCAGAATTTGTGGGTGTACTAAATTAGCATACCACCGCATACGATAAACAAACATCGAAGATGGCGGGTAGACCAGAGTTTTTATCAGTGCTTCGCCGGGTCGGATTTTCCCTGAGTAACGGCAACTTTCCATCGCTTAATTTTAAACCACTTCGAGTAAAATCTTTTGAATCTATCCTGAAAGGCCAGGATGTTATTGGAGTCTTACCAACTGGATCTGGCAAGTCTATGTTATTTCACGGCTGTACCGTTCTCGCCACGATAAAGAATAACCAGAGGTACCCAACGAGAGAACGCATGTTTCCAAATACGCCAGAAGTATCTCAGATCATAGTAGCTCATAGTGGCTTTCTCAATGCTCAGTTTAGAAGCCTGTTTGGCTAATTTGGAGCTAGTTTCCCTAAAAACTATTCACCTGCTCGGATGTCTTAGGGGAACTTTGGTCGTCAAGAAAGTTTTAGGTGGCTTTTTCGTCTCATCCGAAAGTGTTAGCTACCCTTATAGGTCCGGTCGAACGTTTGAGGACATGAAGCAGCCTTGTTTTCATTAGAAAATTATAGGGGACGTTATAGGGGACTGAAAGTTTTAGGAGACCTTTTTTAACAATAATGGCAATATCTGTGTATTAAGATGTGAATAACCCAACCTCCGAAATTCGTAGTTAAGCTGTCAGAAAACCTCCGAATATTTCAGGCGAATTGAACGGTTATCCAGAAGTTTTTACTTTTCTTAAGCTTTGCAAATTTCTAGGCAATATTTCCTCCTTCGAACAGTTATTTTACAGAAAAAAGTCGCTGGGTGCCCCTGAATAACTGAAGTTGCTCTTGTAAAAGCAACTAAGTACCATGAAAGCCAACCCGGCAACTGATGAGGTCCGCCCCACCTCCAAAGCCAGGGAAAAGCGCCCTGGGGACGAGGTTGGATTTTTTTTTACACCAGTAATAGTAAAATATATGGAAAAAAACCTCGATATTACCAAACCTCATTATAGTGAACAAATTTTGCAGTTCATTGGCCCTTTGTTATATCGAGGCTCCACTGTAATTTGCAACCTCGTCCCCAGGGCTTTTCCCTTAAAAAATGGGTGGGGCTTTTCCCGCCCCACCCATTTTTTAAGGGAAAAGCCCTGGGGACGAGGTTGTGTAATTTGAAAAGAGTCAAATAGTTAAACGGATGAATTTATTGATTTTGCTTTTCACTGTACAACTTTTTACACAATATTGAGACCTCTTGTAGTTAAAAAAGATCGATTTACATGGTACAACTTAAATGCTCGCCAGGACAAGTACAGAAAAATACAATAGAAAAGAATAAATGAATGCCTTCCTGAATTTTTCTTTTTTTTTTTGAGCCATTTCTTTGAATTGCCTGTTTAAAGTTATATATATTTGCAACATTTTGCCCGGAATGCGCTTACAAACAGCAGTTCAATTCTGTAACACCGAAAATTCTAATATCAAATGGCTCTTGGTTCTAGTCTTCATTTTTTTTATCATCATCATTATGATTGTCATTAACATTATTTTTCTCTAAATAAGGTAAGGTAAGGTAAGCCCCGCGTCAGCGTGGTGAAAGGTAAGAGTTAACTAATAGTTGTACGCTAAGTTGAACCATGTAAATTTGCTTTAGAGAGAGTTATTTTCTACATTGCTCGCTTAACGATCCTTAACGATACCAAAAGTAATCTTTTTTAAGAATATAAAGGCCCTAACCACCTGTAATTTTCGAAATCTGATTGCCAGGAAAATACCGACAGTCTAGATGTGTAACAATACATCTAATTATTTTATTTTCTTTATTTACAGTTAACTTTTGCGGATGTGTATACAGTCAACTCCCTCTAAGACGGACACCTTTGGGACCGGCAGTAAGTGTCCGTCTTAGAGAGATGTCCTTCTTATAGAGAGTCAAATAAAGGGAGTAAAGCAAGGCAGGGACCAACTCTAGGTGTCCGTTTTAGGGAGGTGTCCATCTTATAGAGGTGTCCGTTAAGAGAGAGTCGACTGTAACTGGACCTGGAATTATTGTGCTAATTTAAAAAAAGCCTCGGTCAAACAGATTCAAGATTGTTCACGCATATTCTTTTTAAAAGTGTTGTTGACAGTCGATGTTGAAACCATTTGACGCCTCCTCATATTAAATGTTGTTTTGATACGTCAAGTCGGTTTGATTTCCTGTAAACTTTGTTTCATCATGGCCGCAACATTTCCCTTGCTTTTGAAATACTGACGCCGTTCGATCCCTTCTCTCACCTTTATTGGACACGCCCAAACATACGGCCGCATAGCTTTTTTTGTTGTGTTTTTTCTTTTTGTGTTTCGTAAAGTAAGAGATACAACCGCGCGAATATTAAAACATAATTTATGTTTGTCGGGGGAATATCTAGATCAATTGACATGATAGGGGAAGAAAGATAAGGCCGTTTCACCGGGACTTTATACAATTATCCAGTAATTTGTAATTAGAATGCATTACGTAGCAAAAAAACTGCTGCAAACCCCCCAACCCCTCCCGCCCCCATAACTCGCAATTTTTTTGCATGATTTGTTTGGATCGGTGAGTATCTATCATGGGTGGCCAGCTTTTTGACTTGTTGCAGGCCTGGATCTATTGTCAAGGAGAGTTGGTG